GCCTAAGACGTGAACATTTTTGTTAATTTTGGGTCGATATCACCAACAACGGGAGAGATTGATGCGGGGTGTTGGCCCATAGGATTTAAGGCGAATGGTGTAAGTAGAAAAAAGTGTGTCTGGGATATGTGCGATAAACGAATACCCACTAACTTAAAGTAAGTTCTAGTAGAACGACTATTAGACCAAACGAAGTTGTATGGACGGAGTGTTAGGCAACCAAGAAACAACATGAAATAAGATAAGTGTACGAGAGAGAATGCTAAGGTGATGTTGGCAAGAGTGACAACAAAATTATATTCAACGGAGACCAACAGAGACAGTAGTGAAGAGATTATACGTAACGAAGATAAGTGTACGGGGAAGAATAGACTAATTAACGTTAGTTAGCGTTGTAAATAGAATATTAAATCTACTTAATTGACTAACGAAATGACCTTGAATAGGTCGCCGTAGAGAAAAAGATTCATGTAACTGACCCCTATTGATGGACTTAAGACTTAGTTTGGAGAACTCCAACCCACCTACCTGATATATGGATGACTCGAACAGGCGCAAACACATGTAAATCACAGGTATCTAGGTTTTTGGGTTCCATGAGAGTACAAATATAGACCTCCCCGATTTCCAACAGTGTAGCTCCCCACATGAGGCCTCCCATTTCTTTTTGTACAAAAAATCAAATTTTTATATGCTAATCAATGAAAAAATAGTTGTTCCAACTTTCCATGTAGCAGAAGAGTGATTGATTGTAAATAATGAAATATATGTATATGTATACAATGTAGAAATTGAAGTTTTGAGAAGAGTATAATGACTACTGGATGCGTACTTCCTGAGTATCAGTAGTGCACCTAGGCTATGCTTCCAACCATTATCGTGGGTCATCCTGTACTCAAACCCGGGATGCTGTTACGCCTGTAAGAACAGTCTGTGCAGAAGAAAGCAGAAACACCGGAAATGGAAAAATAATTAAATCACAATTCATAAGAATTTCTATTTCATCAATGCTAGTTTTTTTTTTTTTTTTTTTTTTTTTTTTTTTTTTTTCATAACAAGCGATTATTATAATTGTGACCAATTCGAAACCTTGTCTATTGAGCTAGTGAATCCTCCATGCAAATTTCATGGAAAAGAAAAGAAAAGAAAAACTCCTTGAATGCAAAACAGCAAACCCACCCAACTATAAGAAAATCCCCAAAATACTAGAGGTACAGAAATCAGGGAGAAAGTTCTCACTACAGGACTGAATATTAACTATTTCACTTGTTTCCTGGTTTTGTCTTCTTTGTCTGTTTGCTTCCGGGGAAAACTGCCACTTTTCTGGGTAAAATGTGGAAAAGAAAATATAGAAAAAAAGCAAGAACAGATTCAAATTTTGTGTGTGTGTATGAGAGAGAGAGAGAGAGAGAGAGAGAGAGAGGAATGACCTTGATACGGTTTTTGTAATATCCCTTAACCACAGAATTGGCAAAGAAATCATCATCAGATGCCAAGTTCTGCCCCTGACTTCTTGCCCAATCCACATACTGCTTCTTCCCTCCGAAATTCTCGTAATTATTTACCAAACTCAAGATCAGCTTACTCCCATATCTTTTTGCTTCAGATACAACAAAATCCAACCCCTTCGTTTGTATCCACAAGCAAAAACAAAAACAAAAACAGAATCAAAAATCCATTTGAAAAACAAATTAATCAGATAAAAAATTTGATATAAACCTGAAGTGTTTGCTCGTTGTAGGAGCCAGGGGAGTACTGTAGGGCTCTGTATCCACCATCACTGAATCCCCAAGTTCTTGCCACAGTGAGACCATGATTTGAAGCCTGTTGAAAGGCGGGTCTCTCTGAGAATAGTTTGCGATGTGGTTGATTTTTTTATTTTTTTTGGATTAAAAAGTCATACTTGAAATAAATTTTTTTGGTTTTTTTTTAATTATTTTGAAGAAAAAATGAAATGATTGTAATTTAGATATGACATTTTGCCTTATTAAATTAAAACTTATTTTATTTTATTTTTGACTATTTTAATAAAAAAATCTCATTTTAACTTAGGCTAAACGAAGGCTGAGTTGGGTCAGTTGCTACATACAAAAAGGCCTAACCACAAAGGGATAACCTCTATAGCAAGACCCTAAGGAATTCAGACTTCAGAGATTACCTCTAGGTGGTTGCTATACAACACTCAACTATATAGCGATAAGTCACGTACTCGCACGCAGGCAAGGATTCAAATCCACACTTCTGACACTAGATACAATTTGCCCAGGGCTAGAATGTTCGTCCTACCAACCATATATGCTGTCCCCGAATGACTAACTTTGAAAAGAATGAAACCCAAGACCGTAGGACTTATGCTTGAAGATCTTGTCAGGATGCCACAATCCCTTGGGACCCCAGGCTACATACATTAACCAGTAGGCGTTGAACCCATTTGCGTAGTAAGAACTACCATTCAACATGAAATGTATTCCATTGATTTTGATGAACTCATCTTGTGCTTCTACTTAGATCAATAACAGAACCAAGAACACCACCTGACTCCAATGCTTCATCTCTCTCTCTCTCTCTCTCTTTCTAAATTTGTTTAAATGCAGAGAATCAGGTACCGTTTGGGAAGCAAAACTGAGGCTATTTTAGCCACGTCCGGACAAATTAGGCTTATTTAGCCACGTCCAGACAAAACAGAAATCAATGTGTTGGGTTCAATCTCTTGTGGGGTAAATTTACCAAAATACCCTGAAAAGAGAAGAAGCTATTCCTGGCATTGTTCCCTCAGCGTGACTTTTGGGGTACTGACCCACTGTCACTATTTTTTGACATGGAAGGATTTTGGATTTTTTTTTCCCCCTAAAATAATCATAAAAGAATAAAAATAAATTTTTTAGTTCAATAAAATAAAATATTATATTAAGAGATTGTTTAGGGTGTCATAAATAAATATACTTTTTTATCTTTTTTGACTACAAAATTAAAAAAAAATATATGAATATTTGGGTTAACTTTTTGATTTTTTATGAAAAAATATGTATTAACAAATTGTATAAATTAGTATATAGGGAAAAATTAGGAAGGGAAAAATTTTAAAAAAAGAATGACAAAAATGCAGCTCATCCAAAAAAAAAAAAAAGTTTTAAATATTTTAATTTTTTTGTTATGTATTTGGTTATGATTTCAGTGTAGACTTCTGAAAGTAGTATGGAGTTTCAAATTATATGTTTGGTTATGAGTTTTAAAAATAATTTATTATTGATGTTTTATTTTATGTGTTTTGGTACGATTTGAGGATAGAGTTGTTTTTAAACTTAAAATATTAAACCAAATTTAAAATTATTTAAATTTTTTGAATATTTAATTATTTAAATTTTTTTGTTAAAAATAATTTTTTGAATATTTAAATTATTTAAATTTACGCTTTAAATTTTTTTGAATATTTATTTTAATTTTTGCTTATTAAATTTTTTAGATTATTTACATTATTTAAATATTTAAAATAAATTACAATCAAAATAAAATTAAAATAAATTAAATTAAAATTAATTAAATTAAAATTAAATTAAAATTAAAATTAATATTTAAAATTAAATTAAATATTAAATTAATTTTAAATTACACATATTTACTAAATAATAAACCCTACTTTTTATCATTTCACAGAAAAATGAAAATAAAATAAAATAAAAATAAAAATAAAAAAACACATGAAAAAACCATTTGCAAAAAAAACTTAAAATACATAAATTATTTTAAATAAAATACGCCTCCATTCAAAAATATTAGTGCGAAGGTTAAAAAATACAAAAACGTAAATTTGAAAAAACCGAACGACAAAAATTCGCATCATCCAAAAAGATAAAAAAAAAAAAAAACAGAAATTACCCAATTGCCATTTTAATTTACAAATATAATAAAAACACATGAAAACCCATTTTTGAAATATTAGAAAACAAATTAATGTGTACGAATTAAAAATGACAAAAACCGTAAATTAAAAAAAAAATTAACGAGAGAAAATACGCGCTCATTCAAAAAGTATATAAAAAAAACATAAAAACATAAATTACATTCATCACGTAATTTACAAATAATGAAACACAAAATTAAAAAAATGTTATTGATAATACCAATAAAAATAAATAAGACAAAAAACGTAAGATTAAAACAAAGAACTAATAATGTATAAAAAATAAAAAAGACAACAAACATAAATTTAAAAAATAAAAATAAAGAAAATCGGCAAAATCCCAAACCAAAATAAAAAAAGAAATTATGTTTACCAAAATATGCAAAATAACCCAAATAAAAAATTAAAAAAAATTTAAGGCAAAATACGCCAAATCCAAACTTAAATAATAATAAAAAAAAGAAGTAGCAAAAAAGATCCAAATCCAAACGAAAATAAGAAAAAAAAAAAAAAAAAAAAAACAACAAAACAGGGCACTTTGGTAAATGACATGAAGACCACTCCACCAAAAGTCAAAATGTCAAAAAGCCAAAAAATCTCCCAAACCAGTACTTTTAGCCCCAGGCCTAAAATAGCCCAAAAAGTCAAAAAAGTCAAAAATCAACCCACTTCCAAACGGAGGCTCATAAAATATTTTAATAAATTGGAACGTGTCTCATCTTCTTTCTAATAGAGAAAGAAAGAAAGCTAACATATGAAAGAGAACCTTAACGATATGCCCCTTATAAACACGGAAGAAAATGGTATATTTTAATTTTTTGGCTCTAATCTAAAGAAAAGAAGTTTAACCTAACATAAAATATCATACTAAATATCTTCAAAATAATATATTACTAGGCATAATTAAAAAAAAATTATAACTAAAAAAAATAATGTAATTAAAAAATACCTATGATATGAGAGTGTATGATGAAATCTCCAACAAGGGAACTCATTAATTGTTTTCTGATATTCATATAGCTGCGCCCTAACTAATTCTCTTTAAATGGTCGCCCCTCTATTTCTCTTCTTTCCATCTAGTTCAGTTTACTTTTAAACAAAAACTCTAGTACTCTCCAATCTCTTAAGATTCTTCTTTACACACATAATCCCTTTAATTTTAATATAATTACATTTAGTAACATTAAATAGATTGGACAACCTATTCCACCATGCTGAAAATATAAAAGGCCAAATAACGTATTATATTTTTGTTGTAAAAGAGATAACAAAATTAAATTTTCATTTATATAACTAGACCGGAATCTCCATTAAGAAAGAGATTTGTCTTATTAATTAAAATCTCACAGGTTTCAGCTTCAATTATTTCAGAAAGTGAGATTTATTTGTAATTTTTTCCAACGGCAGTGAATTATCCTCCTCAAAAAGTTCTCATGATATTCACACTCTCATTTCATTTGTGTCTGTCTACAGCTTTCTTTTTTTTTTCTCACTCATCTTCTTCCTCTTTCTTCTCCCTCACAATATAAGCCTAGAGATTAACAGATGAGTGGAGAATATTTTTTTCATTTATTCATCCATATTTTTATAATAAAAAAAGTTATTTGTAGGAATAAATAGAATCCATATCTTTAGTTTTTTTTTTTTTAAAGACAGATAGAAAAAACCAAAAAGGAAGGGCTGTGCGTCAGCACTGTCCATGACAACAGGGCCAGAACACTCCATATAATAACAACAAATAATAAATAGGAAAATGTTGAGACCCTTTTTTTTTTTTTCTTCTTCGATCCTCACCTCTCCCAAGTGTATTTGGAAATTAGTCAACTTTTTGTGTTGTTTTTTATTTTTTATTTTTTATTTTCATCTTCTATTACTCATTGACATGTGTCTGTAGAGATGTGGGGTTCAAAAAAAAATAGAGCTCTCTTCATTTCTGTTGAACTATAATAGACTCCTAGATAATTGCTGATGTTCATTGTTAGTGTCCAATAAATTTAAATTTCTGACACGTCAAATTAGTGTAAATGTCATTTCTTGTAATTTTTTAAGAAAAATTAAGGTACATGTCATTGTGAATCTCATAGCTAAATTAAAAGAGAAAGTTTTTTGTGAAATTTTGATATTTTGACAAATTTTACGTTGCTTATAATTTGTCAAATTGACATGAAAAATAGCCCATAATTTGAAGCATAAGATCTTAACTTAATTATTATCAATTTTAATCTAACCTAAAGATATATCACTATTGGCAATTGCTCAAATATTGGTTCACATATAATCATTTATTTCATATTTAGTGGTCTTCTGACCATTACAGGCACACATTGCCAACCCTTCACACACTTCTTTTCTCTCTCTTTGTGCTATCATTTCTCTAATTTTTGGTTCAACAATTTGGCCTTTTATGGGTGCCGTAGAAAATGCTTTTGCATCTCTCTCATGTATTAGTCTGTATTTTCTAAGTGGTAATACATTTTTTCGTGTAAGCCCGTTAAATAATATCAAGTTTTCTTATGGTGACAATTTTAAACTGACGGTGATGAGATGTAATTTTAGTTCATGGTATGTATATGAATAGTTTTTATGAGGTTTTATTCTTGAACAAAAATTTATTTTTTGATTCATTTAATTTATTAATTATAAACTGTGTTACTGCTATGCTTTTAACAATATCTATTTGTGAATTAAACAATAAAAATATATGCTATCTAAAAAATTTAAAATATATAAATTTAAACAAAAATAGATAAATTCCAAATAAATTTTAACTATTTTCATTTGAAATTACACTTCACATTTTTAAGACTGAAAAATCTGCCTCAAGATCTGAGTATGGAGTGTCGAAGACAATTTTATTTGTTTATGTTTTTTTTTTTTTTTGAGTAATGCTTTGCAAGGCATAAAAGTTATACATAATTTTTGGAGTGAATTATACTAACGTACCTGTACACTACAATAAAAACTCTTTGGGGAC